TTTCCATTCATCAATCAGTGGAATCCATCCCATTGTTTCTTTTATCTCTCAGTGCTAGCCTTATCTACAGGCTGATCCACAACTCCAATTTGTAAAGACAAATTCAACATTCCTCTCAGCCGTGTGCACACTATGTGAGAAGACCACTGGAAAGGACAGTTAGGAGTGACAGTGACAATGACAACTAAGTGACAGTTGTGGATTTCACAACTTTACTATTTATTTTTTTAGATCATTAAGGGAAAAACAGGGGGATGAGAAACTGGGAAACAAAACATCTCATTGAGTAAGTCTTTTATATATTGACAGGAATCACAGATGAAGCCAATAAGTAACTGCTGGTAGCAGTTAAGAATAGGAATAGAAATACGTGGAAAGTTGGCGGGTTCGGGTTTTTAATTTTTTTTTTGCTATATTCTGTCAGCAGAAATATCAGCCCCTTCTCGATCCACTACCGACATTGGTCATCAGTTCCTGCCATGACGCCAGCACAGAAGACCCTTTATCCACCCCAACATCTGTAGCTATTCAGCAGCTGTGCCTATTACCTGCTAAAATCTCCTGCAGGGCAGTGAGATTCCCTGGCTGGTCTGGGAGACTGTGCCAGTGTATTGGTTTGAAAGTAAAACCAGTGCGAGACTCCAAGTCAGTAATACAATTTAGTAGGAGAAAAGAGAAAAAAATAAAATACATGCAATAATATAAAAGAAACAACCACCGACACAGTCAGAAATACAACCTGACACCCTGTCAGTCAGGGTTTTGGTAGCAGTCCGTATAAATGGTGGCTGCAGTCCTCCTGGATGACAGATGTGGTTCCGTTGAAGCAGTGCTCCTGTAGAAGGTGCAGTTTTCCTCCAAAGATCCAGCGATGATGTGGAAAAGGTCTGACTTCCCTCTGGGATCCAGTGGAAAGGTCTGCCTTCGCGTCCCAAACCCCAGTTTTTTATCTAGGTAGGAAAGGCTTGGCTCCTGCCCCTGGCCGGGGCATCTCCCAATGGGATGATGTAATCTTATCAGTCACACAATAGGACTCAATGGCCCATTAACAGAATATATCTTCTGGAGGAAGGATGGGTTGTGAAAAAATAACGATGATCATCCCCCCTGATTTTATCAGATGGCACATCAGCAGGGGATATCTCCCACAGAGATAAGGATCACCACCCCTCCCACATTTCAACAGATGGTGATAGAATACACATTTTTGCATTGTACCCCAGGACAGCCAGGAAGCTTGGCTGTAGCAGAGAATGACTTCTGCCCCGGCAGCCACAAGCCATTGGAAGCTGCCACACAGAGGTGGCATTTCCAGATCACTGTCACCAGGCTTCTCCAGAACTGAGAATGCCAGTGTTCCTGTTGGGACTCAATAATGCCAGAGGGCCCTAAGAATGGAGAGAGACACAGTTAATGCAGGAAGCAATTCTGTGACCTGTCTTTTATCCAGCACCAGCCTTTCCTGGCATGCTCAAAATACTTAAAAATGAAAATTGCTGTAACACCCCTTAGTTCTCAAAAAGTCAACAGCTTGATGCCAGCTTTCACTCACTTGTTCAGAAAGTTATAGGTAGAACAAGTAGACATTGCAAAATCTCAGGGACTCTTTTCCCCTCTCCTCATCTCTTTTTGAAGCAAGAAAGGAGATTTGGGCTTGTGCTTGGGTTCAGCAACCCATCTGAATGGGGTGATCAGGCCTGGATTTGGGTTGTGTTGCTGCTGGCCATGGTTTTTCTAAGGAAAAAGGCAGCCAAAATTTGAGAGTGGGGGACATTCTGGTGAATCATGAGCAAAACAAAACTTGCTGGTAGAAAAGGAAAATCAGCCTTGGTGGAAGAAAATCAGAGAAGGGTTCCCAGATTTCAACGTCTGCAAATGAAGCAGGTAAGCTTTAAGGCCAAATAATATAAATTAATGCTTTCTTTTTTTGACAACTCGTTTGCTTGTTTCATGAAAGGCATTCCTCTGAAATCCTGAAAGTGGTAGGACTTGCATATAAGTCATCTTTGATAGAAAACTTTTGAGCAATCCTTGGGCAAACCAAGTGAAAGCTGAAATGCTCCCTGCGCCCTTGTCTGGCACCAGCTGGCGCACGTGCTCGTGCTTGGAATTTAGGGCTTGGGCAAACGGAAAGTGACAGTCAAAACACAAAGAAGCAATATCGAACTACAGCAGCCATGTGCTAATGCCAACTTTACAAGGAAATTAAAATTGTATTTATTCTTGCTTGTTACCTATAAAACACAGTAGAAAAGTTCAGCAGTGTTAGTAAATCGCACATAAAAATCACGCACAAAAAAGTGCTTGGTGATACCTTTAGAACAGAAAAAGCACCATTTGTTTCTACTACTGTCAGGAGAAGCTTCATAGCATATAGAGTTATTTCAAGTTTTTAATCTTGAACATTAAATGTGCTTTGCCTACCCAAACCCTGGGGGTGAATAGAGTTGGTGCTCAGGTAGTTTGGTACCCCTTAAAGATGCCCAGACCATGCTACTCTAAGCTTTTAGACTCCATGCTGGGAGGCTGGACCAAGCTGTCTAAAAATTAGTTTTTTCATGCCAGAAAAGAGCGTGTCTCTGCTATGGACAAGGAATAAACTCTGTGTTACCTGCTGGAAAACCTTGCTTCTCATTGCTGAGGGTTTGCACCATTAAGTCGGGGTGAAATCTGATCCCTAAATTACTATGGAGCAGAAAGTGTTGCGATACCAAAACCACGTTATGGTAACGATGGTGCTCGCAGGGCTGCGAAGCAAAAAACTAAATGTGTACCTCGCTTAGAGACACCCCATTTTGAGCAGAGGGGACAGTGTTATGACAGCAATGTATATGGTGGTGTACGAGGGTACACTGTGTTTGCTACCTACCCAGGAGCACAAGTTCTGCCTGTGCATCAGGACTGTGCCATTGGCCGTGCTCACTTCGTGCTCAGCGTCCGGGGTCGTGGTGATGGACAGCAGCTGTAGATACGACAGCGTGCATGTGTGCCGAGAGTTGCTTTTTATGTTAAAGTGTCTGGCGGTGTCTGGACACCCCTGTTGTGGCGGTGAGGATGTGAACAGGGGTGCATTCCTGCCTGCACATCCCTGCAGGTGATATCCCCACAGAGGAAAGTGCTGGGTCTCTCTCTCCAGGTGCAGGCGTATCTCTCGGGGTGCTTCCAGGGGGGGCAGGGTGTCCCTGGTGCAGGGTGTTCCCGGGGGTGCAGGGTGTCCCTGGGCGCAGGAAGCCTGGGGGTGCGGGCTGCTCCCTGGGGCAGACCGTCCTTGGGCGCAGGGTGCTCCCGGAGCTGCTGTGTGTGAGGGGTGCGGCGCTCCCGGAGCCGCCCCGACGGGGCAGCCACTCCCCGCAGGCGGTCTCTCTCTCTCTCTCTCTGCTCCTTGTCGATCTCCCAGTCCGGGCGGGCGCGGCGGGGCCAGGAGGGCTGGGTTATGTCCTCATGGCGCTGGCGGTCGCCCGAGCGCGGGCTCTGCGCGCCCCAAGCCTCCCGCTCCCCCTGGCCCGGGCCCCGGTGCCGGCCCGGAGCTGCTGCAGCCAGGCGGGAGCCCGCGGGGAGCTGCCTCCCGGCGAGTACCGGGCCTGGAGGGACCGGGCGGTCCGCGACCCCGCCGGGTTCTGGGCGGACGTGGCGCGGGGGTGGCTGCGCTGGGACAGTCCCTTCCATACGGCCTGGCAACCCTGCACGCCCGCTGGTTCCGCCCGCTGGTTCCTCGGAGGCCGCCTCAACGTCTCGGGTAAGGCGTCCCGCCCGCTGCTGCCCCGGGCTGGGCGGGAGGCGACTCGCGGGGTGAAGTTTCGCCATCCCCCGTCTTTGGGGGTGAAAACGCGGATTTCAGTCGGGCGGCGCTGGGAGGAGACAAGCCGGGAATTGCGAAATGCTGGAAGAGGGGAGAAAATCCGAAGCCAGGATAAACCTGGCTAAGCCTCTTGCCCGGGCGCTGCCGCGCTGGCGGCCGCCCTTCGACCTGCGGAGGTCGGCCGGAGCCCCGGCACTGGGACGCCCGTCTTGGGATCTGCTGGCTGCGGGCACCGGGTGCTGCCCGGTTCCGTGGTCGCTCAGGAATGATCTGCGGTCTTTTATGGCAGAAGCTGCAGGGATTTTTTTCTTTTCAACGAGGATCTTGGTATTTTCCTCAAATTTCACCACTCAGCATGAAACAAGAGTAGTGTCGTGGCTACCCTGACTGCCTTTGAGTTTTGTCCCTGCCCTGTCTTCCTTGAAGGCTCTTCTGTGCTGCGGCCGTGCTTCATCCAGTGGGAGTGAGCTCCAGCCCCATCCAGAGTACCACTTAGTGGTGATGTCCTTTAACAGGGATGAACATTTCTGATCTTCATTTCCCGTTCCTCGGGGAGGGCACCGGTTCAGTAGTGCAGTAACTGTAACATTTCTGGCCACTTTTTTTTTGACAGACAAACGAAACCCTCCTCAGGTTTTCCAGAGAACATAAGAGAATGTCTTCTCTCAGGGGATGATTGCTCTGCCCAGCACTGGATCCCAGGCTTATGGAAATGTCTGTGCGGCTCTGTGTCCAGCACCCAGCAATCAGAGGATTTTAGCCAGAGTTTTGTTTTCATTAATTACTGTTGAAAGGAAGTTCTTGTCTGAGCATAGCCTATCAGGGATCTATTTCTTTCCTCTGTAGAGTGGGATCAACACTTTCTTCTGTATTCTGTGTCTGATTTTTGATATCCAGATACTGCTTGTCCTTGGGTCTGGTTCCTCAGCAGACAGAAAATGCCACTTAGTTTTCTTTGCATATGTGAATGGAAATCATTGGCCTTTGAAACAGATGCACAGAATTAAACAGGTTTGCTGTTGCGGGTTTTCTTTTCAAGTGTGATGAAGGCAGTACTTTGCCACAGCCAAGTTGCTGTTTTGCTGTTTAGAGACTCTGATTTTGTCCTTTCACCTCTTGATTTGAGCACTGGCTGCAGAAACATGGCAACAGTTCAGGTCCTTGATCCTGACCATCCTGTGTGCACCTCTCCCAGCACAGCTGAACCATGAGCAACTGAGTCATCTGATGTTCTTTGCTTGGGGGCCCTTGCGGAAGGATTTTAGGGACCTGTCAACTTCAGAGCTTCTGGATTTCTCGCACTGTGACTCCTGGCCAGGAGAATAACCTGTCAAACTACTGCATTTCCCACCAAGACACATTCTTGGGAGCTTGTCTTACTGAGATGAATTGTTTCTGAGCAGTCAAGGAAGCAAGAAAATGTATGGAGAAACCACTAAGGTGTAGTAGTAAGGGGAAGGTCACTAAATTCTATTTTGTAAAATGAGCAAAAGACTCTTGTAAGCCTAAGATCAGGAAGGAAATAATAGCATTTGGCTCTGGTTCACCTGCCTGTCCTTACTGAGCACAGAGCTAAAGCTCCCACTTGGCACAGCTAGGGCTTTCTGCAGCAAGAATTCCTTCTGAAAGGCTTGTGTGGCTGCTCAGAAGTAAGACAAGTTTCTTGGGCTATAAGTGCCACTTTATGTGATCCACTGTAGTGTAGCACATTATGTGAGGCTGTAGCTGTGAGGAGCTTGGAGGTGGGAGTTGTTACTTGTTGTGGACCAAGCCACAACAATGAACACAGGTAGAGGAAACCTGTATATAACTGCTTGAAGCAGTCCCCACTAGAGCTTTTGTCCTCTTGTATCATATTAGGATGGCTTAAGAAATGGCTTTGTCTCTTCTATTAGTATAGTACTGCTGCAGGGTTTTGCATTAAAAAAAAAGACTTTAAACAGCTGAAGAACAGTTATTCAAATTTTTGAGACTAACACTTGGTCTTGTAATAAAGTATATTAAATTCTGAGGCATTTCTTTCTCTGTCCACCTTTAGGAGCCCATTCCCAACACGTGTGATGGTGTCATCACAGAACAGCCAAAGCTACTGCAGCACACAGCTTTTTAAAAAATTTATCTGGAAAAATGAAATCCTTTTCCATCAGTATTAATATTTCCAGGAAACAAGATCTGAAATCCAGCAATTTTAAAAAAGGTTTTCTCTGAGTTATACAGCAGTATCCCTAACTAGTTGCCTGTTGAAATAAAGTAACTGACTTTGAAAGATTACAATCTAGTAAGTGTCACATAATCTTGGAATTAATACTAACAAGGATGTTCCCTAACTATCAGGCAAGTTACTACTGGACATCCAGGCAGGTTTCTTTTGTAGATTCTATACATTTCTTCAGGTTGAGTGCTCTCCCTAAGTCCTCCACTTCAAGTTGCTGAGGGGGAGAGATGCACCTTTAAAAGGGAATTTTATACCTTTAAATTTTAGGAGGTGGAATACACAGCCTGAGACACGTTAATCTTTCCCATGGGTCTGATGATATGTAGATGTCTGAACTTTGAGTTTGCTATAGATCCTACAGTTTTAGATATTTTCAGTTAGCTGAGATGCATCTCTTTGTTATACCCTGAAATAAAAATGTTTCAGATGAGCTTTAATTAGAAAATTCAAATGGTGCAGTGCTAAATATGCCAGCTGGGGAACACTGTCTGAGTTCTCGAGTGCTGCTCTGGGGAGCAAAAACATCAAAAGTGTGTCTGGTCTTTGTGCTGCTGGGAGTAGGGGAAGGATTTGGGCTGGCTTAAGTTTAACCAGTGGAGCTAAGCTGAGCTGAATTGGCCATGGCCCATGGTATCCATCCATCCATCTTTAAGGCCACTGTGCCAATTAAGTGTAGAATTTGTTGTATAGCTTTATTAGAGCTGCAAATGCTCTGAGTTCCTCTCTTACACATTAGTGTGTGCCTAGCTACCTAAAAACTGGTGTTTCATCTTGCCCTTGCCCTTGTTGCACTTGACCAAGCTAGGTTTACAAAGCACCTTTTGTATGATCAGGGTTTGTTTAAACTTTTGTGTTTTTTTACAGTAAATTGCTTGGATCAGCATGTCGAAAAGTCTCCGAACAGAGTGGCTTTGATTTGGGAGAGAGATGAACCTGGCACTGCAGTGCATGTCACATACAGGTATGGCACCTTCTCACTATGCCTGGTAGCGTGACGGAACAGGAAATGGGATTTTTTCACCCGACAATTTCCTTTTTGTGTGCTGGAGATATGCATGGGAAAATGTCTGTGAGTTGCTTCTGATTTCAGGAGAGGAACAAATGTCTTGGTGCAAACATCTTGTGTTCATAGTCAACAGCTTGATACTGAGCCCTGCCTGGAGGGAATTTTAAGCTCCCCATGTTTCTCTTTCCCATCTTCAGTGCAGTTTAGACCAACCTTCAGGCTGCTCTGAGTGACACTGAGTTGCATCTGATGCTATAAATTGCAGGGTTTGTTAGAATATGGTGGGTTTAAGCCTATTTCTCTTCTCCTTGCTATGTGCCCTCATTTAGGAGACAGTCTTGCCTTTTGCATCATCTCTGTCTCTAGTGAGATTTAAATGTTTCCCAGACTTGTACGTTCCTCAGTGCATGTTTTAGGAAGCCAAATGTTTGAGCTGCTAAATCTCAGGGAGCCAGATGTTTGTTCGACTAGATCAGAAACCAGAGGAGATGAAGAATGTCCTAGCATCAGACCTTTACAGAATGTTTTCTGGAACTTGTTGGGATTCCCAGAGCTCCTTGGGTCTGAATGGGTTCTGATGGTCTGATTCATCTCCAAAGTTTATTAAAGCTCCTGGAAACATTATTCATTGGAGTGAGGAAAGCGGTCAGCAGGGAGGAGTGGGTGTAAAAATAACTTTGAGAGGTTAGTGCTCCATGCAACAGAAATAAACACTATCTGATCTAAATCTGTGAAAGGAGTGCATGGGTATTAATCTTGGTTATTTGGCAGGATGTTTAGGCCTGTTATGATATAAATATGTTATAATGAACTGGGTAGCTTGACTAAGTGCTTTTGCATTTTGCCATTCTGTTGGTAAACATGGAGATGGAACCAAAGATTTCTCCCAGAGTTTATGTATGGTATGTTTTTCTCCCAGGTTTGTGCACTTTTACCTCTCTTTATGCCTCAGGCGTGATGTCTAGGGGTAGGAAAGAGGTGACAATTGTGCTCAGATCAACCTGGTAAGAGAAGCAGCCCAACAGATGGCTTAGCCTCATTCAAGGCAGCTCTAACCTCTCCCTTAGGCTGCCATTTGAAATGTACTGAGCTGCTGCAGACACTCAAACATCTTATCTACGATCTCTGGAGATAAGGCAACAGCAACAGAACTGTTTTTTTTCCCTGGCCATGCCAAAATGCATTTGGAAGAAAGTGTATTTTCAACCTGTGGAATTGTGATTGCTATGACATGAAGCCAAGTAACCCATATCTGAAAACTGAACCCTTCTTTGTGGAGCCTTACAGAGGTACAGTAACTGGTACCAGAAGGGAGAACATTCAAGTGAAAGACTTATTGGCAATCTCTATTTTCAAACTTCTACCTGTATTTGAGAGCCATGTTTGTTTCTGCCTGATACTCTGGGTGAGATGTGACTGTGTTTGAGTTTCTCAAGAGACTTTGGTCCTACCACATGCTAAAACAGTTCACTTGGTTCTCTGCTTATCTCATTAAGGCAGGAATAGCTTTGTTGAAGACAGCAGTACTCTGTGAGTATTTTGCCTTTTCTGTGGTCTTTGGGCTGCGTTTTTACAGGTTTTAAATGGGACACAAAACTTTTTCCACGGTGTGTTGGCAGTGACTTCCCTTTGACACAGAGCTTAGCTGAAAACCTTTTGCAACAGTGCCTTATTTGAGCTAGAAATTTTGTAAGGGAAAGCATATCAGAGAAGGAAGTGGCCCAGGAGCTGGGATGCTGGTTGAGTAGTCCTTGGTGAGCCTTCTGTAACACATCAGCCTCAGCGTAAAGAGGGAATGAGAGGGATGCTGGATGTGTCTTGGCAGAAGAGAGATGCCCCTTTCCTTAGGATCTGAATTCCCAGTTAATGTCATAGCTGCCTTGGAGTAAGGACTTAGCACTCTAGGAAGCCAAAGACTTTAATTTGGGCGCTGCTTTATGGACCAGCTTTGAGTAAGGTCATGGATTCAGCTGGGGGAGAGCTGTCCAGGGCTTATTGCAACATACTGTAAGGCACCAGTTTTTTGCATTATCTACTTTGCAAAGCTTGCTGCTGTGAGCTGCTTCTCCTCAGAGATAAGTCCTGAGTGACACAAGGAAAGATGCAGCTGCTGTCCTGGTCCTCTGCCTTCTCCTCTGGGGACTTGTCAGGGAGAAGAAAACAGCTGAGTGCTGGCCTTGTTTCCCTTGCAGCCTGCAAAAGAAGAAGGTGGCTGTGCAGGAAAAGGGCTGGAACAGGCTTTCTCCTCCCTGAGGAGGGGAAAAATTTTCATCAGTGGGATGTCTTCCATGCACTGGCAGAAACACAGTTGCACTGGAAAGTGCTGTCCCAGCTAGCTCATCCTTGGCAGAAATAAAAGCCTCAATTTGCCTCCGCTGTGGGCAGAGAGCTGGTGAGCTGTGCCATCAGTCAGCCCACATCCCTTTGCACACTTTTCAGCAAGATGGGTTGTATTTGTGCAGCAGAGTTTAAGTGCTGTGTGGGAGGGGAAGAATCCAAACATCTGCTGGTGGGCAAAGATACCCAAAGCCATAGATAAAACGTTTTGTTTTTGCACCAAGAGATGATGGCTGCCCTTACAAGCTCAGTTGTGATGATATTTTTCACTGCTGAGATTTGTTCTGTCTCTCTAGGTGATGCAACTCAGCCTATCAGGAAAAAAAGTTCACTGGCCATTCTTGCCTTTTCCTCCCTGTGGGTTTCATTTCTATCAAGTAGAAATTCAGCTGAGTTTCAAATTAGCTCTGGTTTTGAATGGGGAGGTAAGAGACTTGTTTTTTTACTGCTTTGTAACAACAGGGAATACAACCGTCTTGGGCTTTGGTGGCTGCAGTCAGCAAAGTAGGGACAGGTCGTGCAAATCAGTTATCAAGAGGCTCTCTGGCTCTCCAGAGGCTTAGCCACCAAAAACTCATTGGTAGGGCAGTGGCTTACAGCAGCACTGCGGTGCTATGAGCTGACAGCTGAATTTGTTGTCAGAAAGGTCCAACCGGACTAGAAGTGTTTTGTCCTGCTCTGTGGATATTGTCAGGGCTCAGGGCCTTTGAAACCTTGTAGAGGAATTCCCCAGGCATTTCTGAACCTGAGTTTTTAAAGGGACTGTGCCTTATAAAAGCAGTTGGAGTTGGTGGCCGGAGCTGTTGGGTTGCAGCCTCTGTACGTTCAATGACAGGAAGTGATGAAGACAGAAGCTAAAGTTATGCCAGCCTTCCCCTTGTCTGAAATGGAGTTATTTTCTTTGGTGTTCCTTGGCTTACCGTCGTCTCTACAGTTTATCCACCTGTGACCCAGTGGATCTGCAAAATCCCATGGCTGTTGTCAGTGGCAGCTATGGGAAGTGGGCAGCAGAATGCAATAGCTAACCTGTTTTTCAAAAGGGTTGGAGGTCTCATAATAAGGGTGATCACTTTGGTGCAGAAAATGTAGCTGCCAGAGGGAAAGTTCAAAATGCAAAGTACATAGTAGGGAGAGAGAAAAGCTAAAGGACCAGAAATTAGGGTCCTAGGTAGGTGGGAGAGAAGTGGTTGGACATCTTCATGAGCAGCATCACAGGCATGCCTTTAAAAAGCCAATGGATTCCTCAGCCTGAGCTAAAATAGATGAAATTGTATTAGAGGTCAGCTATAGTGAAGACTGTAGCTGGAAGCCATGATGGTACTTATCATTGGCAGCAAAACTTTTCCTTCTTTCCAAAGAAGCTGTCTTTGTAAGTTGAGGTTGCAAATAAATCTTGCCCAGGCTTTCAGCTTTCCCCATCCAAGACTGCTCATGGATTTTTCACTTTCTCACCTGAAAAAGGTTACAAAAGGTTTCCCTTGCCTTAGGTTCAGGATGTCTGCAGGAAGGCTGGGCAGTTGTGCTCTAATGCCCAGTTTGGATACCTGACCTGAATTTTCAAACAGTTTCAGCCTAGTTCAAACTATGGTTTGAGAAATAAACTGTTTGCTGCAAAAAATACTCGACCCATCTTTTGTGCCACAACAGCAGAGAACATGGCTTGGGCTAAGGCTCTAAACCAGGTACTGTCAAAGCCTGTTGAATGTATTAAGAAAAGGTTTAGAATAATTTTGCAAAGGGCTGCTTCCCAAAGAAGGTCTTGATGCAATTTTTTTTGATGTAAAAGGAGCTGGCTTCCTTTGTTTAGAAAGCTCTATGCTGTCTTGCTGTGGCAAAAGGTAACATTAGACTTATGGGAAGGCTGCTTCTGCAAAACATCCTTGAAATGCGTCAGAGAAGTGCCACGTGGTGTTGATGGGTTTTACAGAAGTTGTTCCAGACACTGTGCTGAGCAATGGGCTCTGGAAACACAGACACAACTGTATCTGGGGAGGGATCTGAGAGAAACATGGTCTGTCAGTTCCTGAACAGAGATGTAAGGACAGGGAGAGGAGTGCTTTCTGTTAGATTCAACTGAAGGACTGGCCTGAACAATGATCTGCTGGCTCTGTTGAAGGGCCAGCCTTGTAGGTCTTGTGCTTAGAAATGATGCTGTGGTATCTGAAGAGATGCCTGCATAGCAAGTGATGAGTCTGGAAGGTAACAGGCTCAAAGCCTTATCTATGGGCAAAATGGAAACGCACCTTATATAGAGAGACATAAGAGTTAATTATTAGTTTTAGCCCTAAACAGTCCAATCTTCTTACTCAAATTCTAAGTCATACAGAAAGAAATAGGTCCTATTGGTTATCACTGATACCCAGATTTGTCCAGCAGCAGGTCCACATGTCTCTTACTGGTCCTTTGTCTGTGTTCATTAACGCCTCTGCTATCTTCCTGGCTTGCTTTGTTCTAAATTCACAGACTGGATCTATTGCTCTTTCTTTTTTGCAAATGGTCTCCCCTTCTGGGTCTAACTGGTTGCTGCTTCCCCATTTCTCTGCTCTGCTCTGAAGAAATGCTCTTACCCACTGGAGCAGTGGGCTGCTGTCCAATTTCTTCTCTTATTTGCTCTTACAGTTTACTTTTGCAGAGGATCCTCACTCTGTGGTGCCATGAACTGATTCTGCAGTTTCTCGTCTGTCTCTGTCAGGAGGGGCTGGGAACTTCCTTTTGTTTGCAGCACATTTCTTTATCCTGCAGTGGCTCTGCTGAGATCCTCCAGCTCTTGCACAGAGGGAGCTGAGTGCTCCAGGACCCTCTGTGTGCCCCATGGCTTTGTTCCTCCCTAGTGGTTATTCCTGCCTCCCTCTGCCGAGTGCAGTGCCCTGCTCTGAGTGGCTACACTGGCAGCTGGTGGATGTGCCATGCTACCAACACACCTCCTGGCCAGCATTCCATGCCATTGCCTCCGTATCAGGGGTGAGGAACTGCGGATTTGAGGGTTTCAGTTATTCTTGGCTCTTCTGACCTTGTGTGATGGAGGAGCTACAATGCCAAGCTTGGCAGTAGTAGCAGATGGGGAGGGTGGTGATGGCTGTGTTTTCCTCCTGCTCAGTTTATTTAGGTGCAGTGACTCTGCACAGTGCTCATTCCTCCCCAGGATGTGTCTGGGTTGAGGACTGGCAGTGTGTAACATGCTGGCATGTACCAGCTGCCTGCCTGTTAGATAACAAAATGTATTTGAAGGAATGAGGGAGTCAAAGGAAGGATTCCTGACACACTATTTCTGTTAGCTCCCTTTCTTGAACTGGAGAGCAAGCCTGGCTTGCTGCCACAGGAGCCACAAGACATACTAGATCCTCAGGGATTCGTGGATTTCCTTCTTGGAGTTCTTGGCTTCACCTTTTCTTTGCCTTTGTGTCTATTCCCCTATGTGCTGCAGCTCCGAGGGACCTCCAAAGCCTTTCTATCCGAGCATTTCAGCATACAAAGAAGAGTCAAATAGATCCATGGCTAAAGACTGATTCATGTTGTCTGTCACCTTACTTAAACATGCTCATTAAGCAAATGTTAAGCAAATTTGGGTTAATATGAGAGCTTCGGCCATTGTGGTCCCCAAGCCCTGAATGAACAAAAGGAACAAGAGGAATTGTGGAGTTGCTCAGAAAACACATCTTAGCCAGAGATACTCTGGCATTTCTGTATAGGAGAAAGATTCTGCAGCTCAGAAAGCACTTGAGTATTTTCCATTGCAGATAAGTAGTTTTCCTTTTACTTTCTGACAGCTTGTTTCCCTTCATGTGCTGCGCAGTTGAGCAGCTTTTGTTTTGCCTCTTTGTTATTTATCCACATTGAAATTTTCATTTAATGCAGCATCAGATAAATTCCAGACCAGAAAATGTGGCCTTTTAGGACAAGGCACCAGACCGGTGGTTGGATGGGAATTCATTATTGCACACAGTTGCTCAGTTCATGAACTCAGTAAAAGCAAAATAGTAAATCTAACTGACTGTGCACTTCCATGGTAATGAGGGGCTTGGGAAGAAGTGTTCAGTGTTGTGGTTTAGAGTTTAGGCTGATCTTCCACTATAAGGGATTAGGGAGAATTCAGTCTAGGGTACAGCTACTCCATCCCTGCCAGAGAGCAGGCACTGAACATGTCTGGCCCCCTCTTCGAGTTCAGAAGTGGACTATTTACTTGATGCTACAGGAATAGTCTTAGAATAAATAATATGAATTGCTGTGCCTTGGATTTGAGGCTTTTTTTTCCTTGTCTTCTCTCTTGGTTTAAAACAAGTTAAGAAGTGGACACTCCAAAAATTACTTATTCTCAGCCCATAGTTTTGATAAGATTCCAAGCAGATGCATTGATAAGATCCCAATGCTTTCTAAAGCAGAGTACTTCAGCTTTTATTTCCGACTTGCAAGGGTCTAAAAAAAGGAACAAAATAATTTTTGATGAACCGGAAACAACTTTTCATTTTATTTGCAGCTTAGGCACCAGTTGAAAATTTGATGTGTTTTGTACTATGTCCAGTTCTGGGAGAAAAGAATACTTAAGATAAGGATTCATGCTTTATAGCTGATTAGGGAATGCAACCCCCCAAAATTAATCTCTTTGTTAAAGGTTACGGAGGTCCCTGGTAATATAGCTTAGAACCCCCAAGGATTCACAGGTGGCAGGTTGATGATGAATGTGCTGGAGAGTAGATGTCGTCTCGCTTCTCTGAGCTTTGGTACTCAGAGTTTGTGAACCCGAAGGACAATTGTCATTCCTGGCAGACTCTTCCAGTCTGCTTCTGTGAGTTGATGATTGGCACCAGAAGGAGTGCTCTTCTGCCTCTTGTCAGCACCTTGTGCTGCATCTCCTCCCTTGGCATGAGACCACTCCTCACCTGGAACAGTATCCTTTGTTCCCAAAGCCCTCCACTGCAGGCATACAGAGCTGTTCAGTCTATAAGAGCATCTTGGTCCCAGGTGTACCTGCAATTGTGTTATCCCCTGTGCAGGCATCAGGGAATGTGCAAGCCCTTGCCCACAAAGTGCTTTCTCATTCCTCAGAGGAATGTTTTTGTTATTGTCACCATGTCATAGCAGAGTCCCATGAAAAGAGACTTTGTTCCTGTTCTTGGTGTTCCTGAGTTTCTCTGTGCAAGTGCAGCAGCAGTACGTGTGTTCTGCGAGGCTGTTGGGCTGCAGGTGATCCAGCTTTGATGAGAATCTTGTAAAATTTGCCCTTTGTACAAGTGCCTCCAGACTTCTCCTTTCTTTCCTTGTGCATGCAAATGTGTTGCTTACCCTTGCAATTTAAAGAGAAGCTCCTGGTTGTGGAGCACTTCCAGCTGCTGCCCGACGTAAATAGTGTGCTGAGTCTTTGAGCACTTCCATTTCATCTTGTGCTTATCCCACTTGTATTCCCAGTAGCTTCTGACTGAGCCTCATGGGTAAAAAAGGCATCAGGAGTGACTGAAATGAACCTTGATTTCCGGAGGCAGCATTACAGCACCTGGCTTGCTGGTGAGGTGGCCACATTACAGCCTGGCAGCTCTGGACAGCACCTGCTGCTCTCTCTCCTCTCTTTCTGCAGCAAGAACCACTCTGCCCTTTTTTCTCCTCTCCACAATGGCAGGAGCAGCCTGGCTACCAGCATGCCCCAGGCCACCCTTCTTTAAGATTCCCTGTACTGCTGAGATGAGGTGCAGAGATGAGCATGAAGTCTCACTCTTCCCAAGTTCATCTTTTCTTTGCTCACTCCGTGTAAATCAGGTTGTGCAGTCATATGACAACATTCCTTCTGTGCCACAGGGAACTTCTGGATCTGACTTGCCGCCTTGCCAACACTCTGAAGAAATACGGAATCCAGAAAGGGGACAGGGTGGCCATCTATATGTCTGTGTCTCCCTTGTCAGTGGCAGCCATGCTGGCTTGTGCCAGGATTGGTGCTGTTCACACTGTGGTCTTCGCTGGATTCAGCGCCGAGTCCTTGGCTGGGAGAATCATGGACTGTGAGTAGATGCAGACTGGGGAACAAACTTCTCTGTTTCAGTGCTCCAAGGCCTATCCTAGCCCTGTGTTTTCTTGGCAGAAAGAGTTTTCTTGTTTCATTCTCGCCTAGCAGGACAGTTCACTCTCCCCTGCAGAGTGCAGTGAGGAACCTTTGCCTGAGTGACACATGCAGTGTCCTCTGGCCTTAGAATACTTAATAAATTGCTTAACATTCAGTGTGCGTGGGGTTATTGCTTGACAGCAGTGAAGCTAGAAGGAAAGCCAGAGCTTAGGGATAGGGCCTGATTTGTTGTTTTGCAGTATAATTGCAGTGTTTCTTTGATACTCTTCGACAGTACTAATTCTGCATTCTCAGTTGGGATCTTGTGATTTATGTGTAGTACTGGAAGTGTTGGCAGCCTGCCCCTGCTCTGTCAGCCCTTGTACCAGCAGGCAGAGCTGTTCTCAGTCCCGAAGTACTTGTATATTGTGATTAGGTAAAAAGTGATGCTAAAAATAGCAACAGAAGACGGAAATAGCTAGTAGCTCATGTCCTAGCAGTCACATCAGTTTCTTTGCGGCTAGTGTGAGGGAATAAGTCTTACAGAAATTGTCATGTTCTTTTCTTCTTTTTAGTGGAGTTGATCTGCAAAGAGCAAGTACATGTTTTAGCTATCCCTCACACAGGGAACTCAGAAGAAGCAGTTCTACATGTTAGCTTTGCAAGGCAGGGATGGATGATTTAAAGTGCAGTGAGTGACACTTAGGCTGGATGTTGGGAAAGACTTCCTCACATTTGTGATAGGCATTGGAGTGGACTGCTGGGGAAAGGATAGAGTAGATGCCATTGGAGTGTTTTAGGAAGATTGAAGGGATAGTCAGAAGTGGTTTAGCTGAAGCAGACCCTGCCTTGAGATGGGGGAGATGGACTGGATAACCTATGGAGGTCCCAGCTACCCTTAATCTCTGTGTGTCTCAGGTTTTAAAGTGTTTTCATCAATGGCACTAGTTTTGACTGTCAGCAGTTCTGAGTATTGTCACGCATGTGGTCCTATACATCACCTCCAAATAAATGAAAGTTGGGTGTGCATACTAGTCTGGAAGATAGGCTGGCATATCTGCTAATTCCTTCTCTTTTTTAGCTGGATGCAAAGCAGTTATCACATACAACCAGGGAGTCAGGGGAGGCCGAACCACAGAGCTGAAGGCAACTGTGGATGAAGCTGTGAAGAACTGTCCAAGCATCAGACATGTGTTTGTGGCTCAGAGGACAGATAACAAAGTCCAGATGGGTGACCATGATATTCCCCTTGAAGAGGTATGTTGTTGGATAACTCCTTTTAAGTCTGAGTGTTGGCTAGGATAATCTTTCTCTCCATAAGTGCTTTTGAGACCTGAGTTGTGCTCCTTACAGCATCTGGATCTTCATCCTCAAAGGGACTGCCTGTACTTACAGTCTGCTAAGATTGTGAGTCAAAGCAGCTCAGTCTATGTCTAGTTTATCTCAGCAGGGGCAGGGTTATGCTGCTCCATTTCAGAAGTCTTGCAAACAGTGCTGAGATTTAAGGAATGTTTCCTGAGACCCAGAGGTCATGGAGACCGTTGTGGTGGTCGTTATTTTACCATGTTCAGACACTGTATTATGGATTGCATGTGTACTCAGACTGGACACTGTTGGAAGGCAGTGCTGAAATAATGAAGTTCTTAGAGAGGCTTCATCCAGCCATGAGCAGTGTGGTGGTTGCCCCATGGTGGAAAAACAATGATGGCTTGGGAATATTTAGAGCCTGTGCTTCCTGGGGAAGAAAACAGCAGTTGTTTTTATGTGTTTAGCTGGCACACGTGGAACAGCCTAATGCAGAAGTAGTTCTATCAGTTTGCTGGCAGTAGTAAACAGGAACTGCTCATGCTAATGATGCCTGGAAAAAGCTAATCTGCTGGCAAGATAATTGTTAAAGAATCTCTGTGCTGGTCACATGAGATAGGAGGAAGTGATAGCGTAAGTTAAACAAAGAAGACAAGTTTTACTCTGAAATTGTCTTACTCCTTACTCCACAAAGGACGTTCTGATTATTTTCCTTGGTCTGCAAACAGCCTGAGTTCCAAGTGTGTTCCAAGTGTTCCAAGAGCTGAGCTCATCCCATTGTCAGTTTTGGGATCTGAAACAAAACAAGAATTAAACAGTTAATGATGTTAACTGTCCTTACTGATCTTTACAGCAGCTGTACTTTCCAGCTCTTGTGCAATAGCATACCGCAAAATTTAAGCTCATGCTGTAATGGAGCATATGAGGATTCCATCTTTGTTTCAGAAATTGAAAGTCAGCCTGAATTGGCAGTGCTGAAATGTCATGAGAAATACCTGAGATGAGCAGCAGTGCTGTAACTCAGAGGCTAAGAGTTACATATAGTGAACTCTTCATATTTACTAAGCTTTGTCAGACACTTTCAAACAACTGTACCTACTCATAGTAATGTTCACTTGTAAATGTGTGTAAAAGTGTGTTTACAGTGAATTCTCATAAAAAGGCAGTACCAAGAAATTCTTCCAAGGACCCATCTAATAACTCTTGCAGCAATCATTATTCATCAAGACAGTACAGAGCTCGAGAGAAGCTCTGACCTAGCATGCTTCCCTCCTGTGGTTCTGGCTGTAAGAGATAAGGAGAGATCTCACCCAGCTGGCCAAAAAGGGTAGTATGAAGAAAATGACAGAGGCAGGAGAGTAAAGCACTTTTCTTCTGGGTAGAAAAATTAGAATTTGAGGATCAAATGGACAGAACAGTTATCCACTGACGGGGCCAGAGAAGGGAGATGAACACACAGTTTAACTGTAGCACTGTGGTTTTTAGAGGAAAAAGAAAGTAATAAGCTGTACCCAGTCAGCCTTGCTACTGCTGTCAGGTGTTTGCAATCACATTTTGGATTTCTACAACCAGCTTGCAAAGGCTTGAAATGTAAGCAGCTATGACTTACCGTTTTTTCACCCTGAAATGTTATTTTCTCTGGCCAGTTCTTCTTGACTTCTCTGCCCAGCAGAGGTACTGGTGGAAATGTTAGATGCTGTGCACCCACAGGAAGCTTTCCACCAGGTGAGCCCATATAAGCTGTGATACATCCCTGGACATTTGAGAGGGGCAGCAGCAATGGCGTCTCTTGTCTCTGGATACTGTTGCCATGCTTACAGAGGAAGTGATGGTTGGCTCCATATGGCCAAAGCCTTTCTGTCATTACCACCTTTTCTTTCTTAGGAGATGACCAAGGCAGATTCCATCTGCACTCCAGAGAGCATGGACAGTGAAGACGTGCTCTTCATGCTGTACACCTCAGGCAGCACTGGGAAACCCAAAGGAATCATTCACACCCAGGCTGGATACCTGCTGTATGCTGCTCTCACACACAAGGTAACTCAGCTGCCTCCTCTGGGAAAGGTTCACTTACCTTCCAGCAGTGCTAATGAGACTTCCCTCGGAATGCTGTATTCTCTGCTTGCCGCCCAGTTGGCTTATTGATTGTAAACAAACTGGAAAACATCTGAACTGTAATTAATCTTCAGGACTTGTTCTGAGGAATATGGTACTATGCAAACCTGAACATAGAGTTATGAAAGCAAGGAAATGGCAGTGTTTCTCTTGCATTTAAAATGTGCCAATGTTGGCTGCCCAAAATTTACAGCTGAGGAGATTCTGGAAAGTATCTTACTGGCACTGGCAATGTGGATATTACTGTAGTATTTTGCATTGGGATGCTGGACCTTTTTATTTCAGAGAGGATCTGGACTCTTAAAACAGCCTCTTCGCATAGTACTTGTTGTCTGAAGAACAAAAATTTTATTTCTCCTCTTGTGGTTGCACCTGTGTTCTGCTTTTCTGGGTGATCTAGGGAAAGTGTTTAAACCTCCTTTCTCATGAAAATGGAAAGAGTCAAGGCACTGCTTCTTGAAGCTTCTGGTCTGAGCTCTGCATATTAAAAGGTAACAGTGAAATGAGGAGAGGACTGTGGTGAAAGATCTCCATCTGGCTTTAGAGGTATCACCCTGTTTGTAATCACACAATTCATGTGAAGGTTTTCTTTCTTTTTTTTTCTTTCATGGTTGAATTTTTAGAAGGTTTGAATATTTGAGTGTCAGACTTCTCTGCATGAAGGGCATTTGTTATGTCAGCTTTTCTAAGTGACAGCATAAACCCCAAGGCATCTCTTTCTTAGTCCAGAAGATAGATCTGCACCCTGGTGATTTTCTCCACCTGCAGAGTGCATGAGATGGAAAGGCACTTGGAAAAATAAGGTGTGAATTGTCTTTTCTAGGTAGAGGGATCAGCTGACATGTGTGATCTCTGTGGTCTTTGTATACTCACATGTGACACTCTTGTCACACACTTGTGGTTTTTCTTTTAGTTCTGATCCATAAACCTGACTCCATATGAGTTAGGACCACTTCACCATATGGTGGAGGTGTTAGATGTACAGTGGGAAGCATTTTTCATATCCAAGACAAGATAACAAGTTCTCTAAGATCTTTATCTTGAATTTGATAAGCAAGGAGAAGGTAGCATCTGAAAAGCAATGTACTCATATGCAGAAGCTGAGCAGCTAAGAATATTTCTCATTAAATGTTTTATGGGCACCTATGAGTTACTCCAGATCTCTCATGGAAATCTGTTGATATTGGTGAAGGGTCTGAGACTCTGTGGTCTGCAGTTTCCCTGCCATTCAGAGTCAGCTCTACCATGTGAGCAGGCAACCTTAGGTATCCAAGGCTCTGAGCTTTGGTTGTAGCTTTGTTGCTTCAGCTGAGCAGCAGCTGGTACAGCTGTGCTTCCTGTATATTTGCTCCCAGGAGCCTGGGAGCCCTGGTACTGGTCCCTCTGACTCACTTCCCCACCTTGGGCTGGTCTTCGTGGCTGTATCCCTCACATCTGGCTCCACTTGCCCCATGCACTTTCCTGCTCTCATCTGGATGCCCAGTCCAGCATCTTTCCTTTGAGCACCTGCCAATAGGGAATCAGCTGGCCTTATGTTTATCTTTGCAGTATGTGTTTGACTACCAGCAAGGCGACGTTTTTGGCTGTGTGGCCGACATTGGCTGGATCACAGGACATAGCTATGTTGTTTATGGACCACTCTGCAATGGAGCCACCTCTGTCCTGTTTGAAAGCACTCCAGTGTATCCTGACCCAGGTGAGGAAGTGATGGGAAAAGGTTTGGCTAGATGTGGCAGAAGAGGTTTAGAGACCTGTCCAGCATGACCTGCCACTCAGGAGAGGTAAACTCCATTGCTTTGGATCATATGTATGTAACACTCAGGAGCATCTGTGAATCCAGGGTAGGGGAAAAAAAAAACCTGTCATTGCTTTTGCTTTGTACTCACAGTAGTAACAGCTCCATGTTTGGCTGTTAACCTTCCAGCTGAGCGTTTGCAGCAGTATGTCAGTGCTGGAAGGGTAAAAAGCTAGTTTGTGATTTTGCAGGTCGTTACTGGGAAGTGGTGCAAAGGTTGAAAATTAATCAGTTTTATGGAGCACCTACAGCAATACGCGTGCTGCTGAATTATGGAGAAGAGTGGGTGAAGAAATACGACAGATCTTCCTTGAAGGTTTTGGGTTCAGGTAAGTGGCATGAAATCTTCATCTGAAAAAGACAAAGGGTTCTAGCTGGTAAAATGAAGATGCCAGAGGAGCTCAGCTGACCACATGGGATGTGGTTAGAAAAAAGGTGATAAAGCAGACTCTGTGTCTGGCTTTTCAAAGATTTCCTCAGCAGAAGAAGCAACAAAATCACATTTTGGGTCCATTGAACTTTTGTTTTGCAAGATCACATTCTTGGCTAAAAAAATTTACCTAATGTTAAAAGGCATCATTTTGAATTTTACTGGCATAGGTGACCCAAGCAGCATTTTCCTACATTATTTTCTATTCTAGAGGTTCTTATTAGCAACTTAATTGTTTAGTTACTTTCAGTGATATTCACTGCTTGCCTGTTGGTCCTTCTGGAAAAAGTCAGTCCTCAGTTATATGAATGCATTGCAGTCCTTTGTGCATCCCAACAAAAGTGCTGTAAGCATTGTGCTTGGAGATCATGTATTCAGTTTGTTGTGCCCCAAGAGGAACAATGAACTGCCTGCAGTCTCCTGGGTCTCAGGTTGTTTTCTTTCTTGTTTTGGTCTAGTGGGAGAGCCCATCAACAAGGAAGCTTGGCAGTGGTTCTACCAGGTGGTGGGAGAAGGGCGCTGTGCCCTCGTGGACACATGGTGGCAGACAGGTAAGAGGCAGCCTTGGGGCACCCTGACCACTGGCAGGCTGCTGGTGGGGAGAGAAGGATTACACATTTCAATTTGATCCAACAAGTCTGTCAAAAGAATCCTCCTGGCATTTGGATCAGCCTTTGAAAGTCACTGGAGAGTTTCTGCACAGAACAGCAACGTTACAACATGTAAAAGCAATAGCAGTGTTGGGGTTTTTGCTTTCCTCTAAATGTTCTTTGATATTTTGAGTGCTGGAAAATGCCAATTGCTTCTAGAAATATGAGGCAGAGATTAAATTTCTCAGCAAAGCTGGCGACAGTCAGCTTGAATTGCAAAACTAATTTTCAGTTTATTAATTTGTTATGGTCTCATCATGCAAAGGCACTGAAAGCAGCACATAGCCACAATCTATACTTAGGTGTGCTTTGTTTTCCTTTCTGGGAATGGTCAGGGGACGATGGAAAACTAAGTTGTGTAATCAAAGGGACAACTGCAACTGCTCTGGCAGATTGGAAAGGAGTGAGTGGAGACTTTCTGGCTGCCCATCAGGTGACTGGAGGACAGTGGCCATCACCCAGCAGGCTGCCGGGGAGCACCTTCTCCCATGATTGAATTGATACTCTGTACTTTTGTTGGCCTTGGAGTTTTGATGCCTCAGAAAGGATGCACTTGTGTATTGGCAACTTGCTTGGCCCAGCTGTGTGCATCAGTTGAAGTTTGTTTGCTGTGTACAAGCTGCTGGCTGTCTCCAGTCCAGTTGAAGCAGAGCTGGCCTCTGTCTCCTGGCCTCCCTGGCCAGCAGCAGAGAGAGGCCACATGCTGTACCCAAAGTGGGGCTGTGCTACCTGGTGGGGCCCTGCAGCTCCTTCCTGGCTCCTTCCTCAGCACCCAGTCCTCTCTTTTCTGGGCACCAGTGCTCAGGAGTTGCTAGAAGTGTCTTGCAATATGTCCTTCTCAAGTTGTGAGATCCAGTTTGCCATGGAGACAAGAACACAGCTGCTGGCATTCTGCCTCTGCTGAAAAATAGTCTTAAACTGCCATTGAGCAGCATATTCATTCCCTTTCCAGTCAAGCTGCTCCTGATTTCGTCCTCATTCCTACTAGCAGGCTCTCTATCTCAGTGTGATGAATTTTCTTCTGGCACACAACCAAGTTCCATTTAATCCAGACCAGACTTGCAGGCTCTTTTTCTTTTTAAATTTTCAGATTTGAAATAAATTCCATTTCAGAATTCAATCTCAAAATTCAGAGCAGCAATGTTAACTGCTATCTACTTCAATTACTGATTTCTTAAATCTTTTGGGTTCTTACATGCTGAGCAGAAGGAAAGACGACTGACTAGGTCTTTTCTCATCATATGCTTTCTTCCTCTCTGCTCTGAAAGAAAACACCATGGAGAAGCAGTTGATGCTTGCACATGCACATTGATGTAATTAATAAGAATCCAGTTTTGCCCTAACATTTTTTTATTTGTTTGTTAACTGGTACATGCAGTGTTAATGCTGTGTTATCTATTTCCTGAAAAGTACAGCGTTAGATATTGTATTAAACGATCCTGGGATTTTGGAGAAACAACTGTCAGGTGAGAGGTTAAAAAAACACTCACTGGATAGTCTGTTAGTGCAGAGTACTTGGTATTACCTTGAACCAGGCACAGTCTTACAGGTAAACAGTTACCAGCTCCTGGAAGCATAATATAATGATAAATATTCATGACATTGATTTTATTAGAAAGTGGAAACAATCTTTTTCTACAGTTGATGTTTTAATAAACAGGAAGCCAAATTAATCTTGGAAAGATTATATATGCCATTTAAATGTAAAAGAACCGTGGGAAGAGATCACAGGGACAATGTGATGGATGCTGTCTGTGGTCCTGCAGTGTCACCTTTCCTATACAGTTTCACAAGAGCTGGTTAATTGTGCTGCTGTGTGCAGTGTCCTCCATAGGACTCTGCTCTCCCAAGCAGAAACCTGTTGCCAGCTAATAAAGCTTGGCAGGCATCAGCAGATGGTGATTTAAGAATCCACTTTAAAGTCTTTGGATAAGGCAAATGAGTGAGAGAGCAATTATGAGAAGCAATTTTAATAGTGTAGTGTGTGCAGATGAAAAATTCCTATGTCTCTTGCTGTTAAGATTGTGATTGACAGTAATAGAATCAAAGCTGTATTTGAGTTTTAGGTGTAGTTCTTCATGATACAGAAGAGACACTAGGTATTTTCACTTTTGTCACTGATTTCACAAAGAAAAAGAACAGCCATGAACAGAATCTGGTTTTGAAAGACATCTCTGAATGCGCTCAGAAAGCTTTTGTTGCTGGCATCATCTCACATTGATTTATGCTGGGCTGCTTCTGAAACAGATTCCCCCAAAGCAGTCACTCCAATCTGTCTGTGGTGGCAGAGAGCACTTGCTCTACTCTGCTGCCAGATGGGATCTCTCCATGTCAGAGGGAAGCCTGGTTCAAAGCACCCATCCCCTGCTCAGACCCTGCTGTCCTTGTCCAAGGGCTGGGTGGGTTTGTACTGTGTTGACAGTGTGGGCACAGGTAATGTGGAAACACAGCTTTTCTCTGCCAGCTCTGCCTCTGAATAGAAAGGCTTCATAAGGGCAGGGTAAAGACTAGAAGTTTTGCTTGATGCCATCTGTCAGTGGCTAAAATTGGTACTTCTAAACCAATTTATAATAGGTCTTCACCATGCAAATAATTTTTAAGACACCCCTACTACCATGCAGCTTCCTCAGGAGTGAGACTTTACTGCCTTGTGTGTGGCTGGCTGCAGGATGTGTAGGATGTGGCAAACATCATGTTGAAACAACTCTTAGTGCTGTATTTAGGATAAGCTCTGGCTTAGCAAGAGCAACCTTCAGTTTAATCAGGGTACCTGTTCTAATGCAGGTTTTGTCTGTGCAAACAGAGATCAGTGGGTGTCTGGGGTGCTTCTTCCTGGAACAATTCAAACTCCCCTTTTCAAAATTAACAGGAACATGAAGTGAATGCATTCCCATCGATGAAATGGGAAATACTTCTATGTGAAAGCCACATGTGAAACCATTTGCTACAGATCTAAAGTTTAAGGTCATCAGAGACCCTTCTTCATAGCTGGATGCAAATCCAGGGTCAAATTCAGCCATTCCAACTCCTGGTTTCAATTTTCAGAAGCTCAGCAAAGCTGGTAGAAGAATGCATGTGGCAGAACATGCCTTTATTTATAGAGCTATGTTTTTAAAAGCCTTATTCTCCTTTATTTTGGTTTGTCTCTTGTGTTTCTGAATTAGATTTAGAATAGAAAAGACCTCATTAAGGTTGGAGTCTGATTTAATGTTCACCCCAGCAGGAATGAAAAAGGATGATTGAAAGGTTCAAGTTTGACTAGAAGATAAGCTCAACCTGCCTGTAAGGGGTGGCTTAATCTCATACTCTGTAATAACAGTAATTCAGACTCCTGAAGTGCTTTTCCGGCTAACCTTAGACAGCTGTAGAAACACTAGAGGGAGATAAATCCCCATACATGCTTTCCCTGTAAAATCACTTCTGGGTAGGAAGTGGGGCTGCTGAGCACCTCTCATGCCAGGCCAGTGTTTCAGATGTTTGTGCTTCTTGGTCCTGCAGAAGTCATTTCCAGTGGCTCTTTCCTGCAAGGTGGCTTCACTGTTTTCTTCTTGACCTAAGAAGAGCCGGAATTTGCTTTCACCCAGCAGTGGATGGACTACATATATTTTGTTTTTCATTTTACTTCCAGAAACTGGTGGCATCTGCATTGCCCCACGGCCCTCAGAGGAGAAAGCTGAGATCATTCCAGCTATGGCTATGAGACCTTTCTTTGGGATTGTGCCTGTGCTCATGGATGAGAATGTGAGTTGGAGTTGTGCTGGGTGCCCAAACGAGAAGGTGGTGTGTTTTTCTGCTTTAATCACCTTTTGGACAGCAAAGGAACAGGATCCAGGGATCCAGAAGGATGCTTGTTTCTCCTTAAAAATGGAATAGATGGGCAATTTCTATCTATCTATCTATCTATCTATCTATCTATCTATCTATCTATCTATCTATCTATCTCTATATCATCTATATCATCTGTATCATGTATATCTGTATCTATATCTATATATCTGTATCTGTATCTGGAGAGAGAGAGAGAGAGAGCAAGAGACAGATAGAGAGGGCATATCTCAGTTGTCCATACAGATTTGCCAACAGGGCATTGAGGTGTCTAGAAGAGTTGTTTGCATTTATTTTCTCCACTTGTGACCCTCCACTGGCAATCTGCAGTGAGTGACTCTTGCCAGATCAATGACGCAGAAGCTCTTCACTATTCCTATTTTGTTCACCAATTCATCCTTCCTGTGCTTGGACCTGCAGGGAGAGGTTATAGAGGGCAATGATGTGTCTGGTGCACTCTGCATTGCCCAGCCGTGGCCTGGCATGGCAAGAACAATCCATGGAGATCACCAGCGCTTTATTGATGCCTATTTCAAAGCCTACCCAGGTAAGGAAAGTGCCAAGGGAAGCAGTTTCACTGCAGTATAAGCACACAGAATATTTTCAGCAATAGTTTCTACTATTTCTGTACCATGGTGGCTTGGGGTGTGTGTCACAGGTTGCAAGCATTCCCTGATGGTTTTAGGTAGTGTTGACCTTTAGAGCTGCCAAGAGGGATGTATTTTCTAGAAAACTTTAACGCCCAAGCTTCAAAGTCCAAATACCTTTTCTCTGGAGCTTTGTATCTCACTTGGGAAAAGGCATATTGGATGGGAAATACCTCCTGCATCACTGAATCTTAACCCTGTGTTACAACCTTCCTTTTTAAAATGTGGTCAAGTTATCTGGTAAGTATCTAGAAGTGGCAAGGAAACATTTTTTGTAGGACACAACTGTCTTCACTCAGGAGAAGAAACTGAAAGATATTTGAAAGCTACAGAGTAGGCAAGAATTAGACAGGCAATCCCAAAAATTGTACAAAATGGGCTGGACAATAACTGGTACAAGAAATTGAATGATCCCATAGTCCTTTATTACTCACTACATTTGCGTCAGATGTCTTGTTGATACTTAGTTGATAGCTGTTTAATTGATCTGTAAGGGCAGAAAACGTGACTAAAAGTCCATGAATAGGGCAATAATGGGTCCTGGCAAGAACCAGCTTGAGATTTCACATCAGTAACTGCCTGCTGCTTCTCAGATGTGCCACTGGAACAATTCAGATGCAGAGATGGCCTTGGTGAAGACCCAACAGAATCTGTGTTATCGGATGTTCCTCAGTGACACTAGAATTTCCAGGAAACCCTGCATAATTTTCAGTTTCCATCAAATGTTTTAGACCCTCCATGCTTATCATGGGGTGGTCTGGAGTTTTTAGCTAATCTGATAGCAGTGTTTCTCCCACATTCACATTCTAGAGAGTGACTGTTATCTGGGATCTGAATCTTCATTAGCTGGGAGGGAAAATGGCTTTTCATCCATCCTAGTGTAAGTGATTCAAAAAAACTGGCAGTGTTCCCGTGTTCCCATGTACAAAATGTAATAGAGCTGCTCCCTTTCAGCTGAACAGCTGTTGTTTTCCATGCATGCTGAGGTGTAGCCAGCAGCAGTTCTGAGCTCGACCAGTAGCCTGTGATATGATGGCAAATGGCATTTGCAGTGGTTTTGTCTTAGTACTGTGTGCACCAAGAGGCCTGAGCACACAGCTGCTGTGCAGATGTAGGCATGCAAAGCCTAGAGAGGTCAAAGAGCCCCTCTTAGTTCTGTAAATCCAGTTGAGCATCACTGGGTTGTGTTGCTGGGCTTGGTTTTACTATAGGAGTGTCAGCCACTGTTTGCTGCTGATTGCCTACAGTGATTTGTCCATCTTGGCAGAGACCTGAGCTTCACCATCTTGGTGCTCTTCAGGTGCTTGTAAGGAGCCAGCACAGCCCAGGTAGAGCAGAGGAGGGCTAGGGATGGCAGAAGGAAGTGAAAAATGGTGTGAGGCAGGTCACACAGCTGTGAGCTTGCAAAGGCCTGTGAGGTGCCTGATCCACCCTGCCCTAATCACCATCCTGTGGCGTGGTCTGTCCTGCACCAGAGCCCAAAACAGGCACACTTGCTGCTGCTGATCAGCCCTGTGTCTTTGCTGCAGGTTACTACTTCACAGGGGATGGTGCTTACAGGAGCCAGAAAGGCTATTACCAGATAACAGGGCGCATGGACGATATCATTAACATAAGTGGACACAGGCTGGGGACGGCAGAAATAGAAGATGCAATGGTAAGTTCCGAGCAGGTAGAGGTCCCTTGAAGGGCATATCTGTGAGGTAGGGTGATCCTTTCAAAGCAGCTTTGTCTCTTGCCTTCAGACTCCTGCCCCTGCATAGACACAGTTTAATGCACAATTAATAGCAAACGTGCAAGAGGAAGCAGCTCCCTTATTGAGGAGAAAACAAATGAGCAAGTGAGGGGTGCCACACTGTGGGCAGTCCCTACAATTGAGCTGTCACAGCTGTTTCCTCTCAGTGATGTACTGTTGCAGTTGGCATTCTGGATGCTGGTGGACACTCCATAAGTGTCTCTCCTATTTCTTCCTTTCCCTCTAGTAGCATCTGATCTCTCCTTCCTAAACCTGTGGTTCCCACTAGTCATTTTGAGAGAAAATAATATTATCTCTGGGAATTGAAAACAAAAAGTTCTTGGAATGTTTATATTTAAAGCTTGACCTGTATATTTATTTGTGTGCAAATGGCACTTAAATATAACATCTGATGAACCTGAGCTGTGTTTACATGGAACACAGGATTCTACTTTATCCTCTGTAAGTAATTATTTTGTCTGTTCCTCTCACAATATGTGTATGCATGTGTAAAAGCAAATATATTTATGTGCCTAGATTGCTCTATGATGTTTACTTTCATATTTTAATCTAATTTAAGATAACATAATTCTTTGGTGTGGGATGCAGATATGTGGTTTCTTCTGGTCTGTGCAGTTCTTACTGCAGAAGAATGTTAAATTAAACTCTGCAATGCAACAGAAGTTATCACTGTTGTGTAGCATAACAAAAATGCCTTTGGGTTAGGGAATGAAGAAATCTGATTCTTTCTGCTTTCTGGTGAGCTTTGGGCATTTATAAGCCCAAAGTGTGGACTTTGGGCAGCTTCGCTTTTTACCTCTGCTGGCCACAGTTCTCTGTAACACTGACCACTTCAAGACTGGTTTTGCTTGTGATTTGACAGTGGCCAGTCACCATTTGGGACCACAGTAATGCACAAAGAAAGAGAAGGAGGGTTTCCAGCTGTTGCAAATTCATCATGGGTGTGCAGTGGGCTTAGCAGTGGATGTAGGAGTACTTATTTTTGTGTATAAAAGCAGGGCCAGTACAGAGCTACTCCCTGCGATGTGGCCGTGGCCATGGCCACCAGCTGACCCTGCTGTAGGAAGTTAGCATCCAGCTCTCCTGTTGTGCTTTCAGGATCTGTCAAGGGGAGAGCAAGATATGGCAAGTTGTTTTGTTTGTATAGCAACTGACACAAAATCTGTTGGGCTTGAAGCAATTCTGATTTGTGATTTTTGCTTGACTTTTTGTGAAGGCTGATCACCCTGATGTCCCTGAAACAGCTGTGGTTGGGTATCCACATAAGATCAAAGGAGAAGGTATGTGAAAAGCAGTGTCCTGACATGACACCTGCATATACTTCCCTTAAATTCTGGCCCAGGCTGCATGTTAGGAGATGCTGAGGGAATGGGAGGGAAGTTACCTTAGGCTGACTGGCACTGCAGCCCCAAGAGACAAAGATAGCCATGAAAATAGCTACATGTTCCTAACTTGGGTGTTACTCTCTAAACTGTTTTCATACACAGAGTTCATGTATATGGTATAAAATCCTTTTATAGGATTGTGCTTAGAAACATCCTTTGAACAGAATGGGAATAGCTGATATACACTGGCCAACTTTTGATCCCAATAGCACTTGGGTAATTTACGTTGACTTGTCACTGTCACTGAGATCAGTCACAGATGCTGAGAAAAGGCTGGGCCATCATTTGAGGGCTGGTGTCTGACTTGCTTTTGTAAAAACGATCAACGGTTTTCAGTCCCTAGATGGTGCATAGGAATGACTTGAAACCTTCATTGGCATTCAAATGAGCATCCTTGGTCTTTCCAGACATTATCTAGTATGAGGTTTGTGGTTTCTGCTCATTTTTCTTCCAGGTGCCTTTGCTTTCATAGTGCTAAAGGAGCAGACACCTTGTGTAGACCATATCAAAGAAGAGCTCAAAACCATAGTGGCTTCCAAGATAGCAAAGTATGCTGTGCCTGACCACATTCTGGTAAGTGGGAGACTGAAACTAGTGCCAGTAACAGGAAATGGTCACATCAAGCTCACTGTCCTGCCTGCAGTGCTGCTTTTGTCCTGCTCTGGCAGGATAAAGAGGCAGGAAAACAGAATTGGCTGGAGGGATCCAGGGAGGGGAAGGGCAGGTGCAGTGGTCTGTCTGCATGTGAGAGAAGCACTGAGAGGCAGTGACACTGCCCAGCTAGCTCGCAGTGATAATTGGCATCAATGTCACACCTCAAAGCACTGACCATTTCTGTTGCACAACAGGCCTGGCCCTGGAAGCAGTGATGAGCTCCATGCAGTCTCAAGCTTCCAAGCCTTTCAGCAGCTCCCTTTGCCTGTTAGGAGAGAGTTCACAAATTTGCCCTTTAGCTGTCTCCCAAGGTCTGCCTCCATCCATTTCTCTCTTCTTGGAGGCAGTGACCAGGTGCTTCCTTGAAGGGCTCTGCTTTAGCCATATGCATGTAAAGTGGACACCAAGGCACAGGCAATAGAATACAAAAGGAGCAGGCAAGAGTGGCTCCCTCAACTTGGAACAGCCCAGGATATCCTCAGTGGATTGGAGAAGCTTCCAGAACTTGCCAATGTGCAAGGGAATGCCTCCATTTCCCTGTTTTGGGGTAGTCCAGCAGAGAAGTCCTCTAACTCTTTCACTGCATGTCAGTTAATGCTATAGAATTTTGTAGCCTACTGGCCTGATTATGTAGCAAAATGTGAGACCTGTTGGTGTCTCTGCTCAGTGTCTGAGAACTCTTCATCAGGCTCACATTTATGCTAAAGCCTTTGAATTTGCAGTAAGTCCTTCCCAGAAGGCATAGCCAAGGCATTTAGGATTGTTCTGGTTATGAAGGAAGGTGTGTAGGCTGACAGATACCAGGCAGAGAGAAATATCAGCAGACAGGAGATACCTCTTGAATAGGAGACCCTGCAGCTGGTGTGCAGAATTGCGTTGCTTTATATTCCTGCCCTGTAAAGCTGAATATATATGTCTGTTCTGGTAATGCGTTGAGATTTATGTCACCATTGGTGCCTAAGTTTTCATGTGTAATTAGATTTTCATCGTTAACAGCATATTGAGGACCTGATGCCTAAAAGAGCTGTGTGTCCTGCAGCACTCAGTCTGGACATGGCAATGGGGAACAAAGTCCACTTAAAATAAGAATAAAATGTATAGCTAGTGACATTCCTTTCCTTGGACATAATCTAGTGTGCTCCATGATGTATTTCCCAGGAGCCTCAAAGGAGGTGTTGTCATGAAATAGAATGCCAGGCTTAGGATAGTCCAGCCAGTTTTCCTTGTGGTTTCCAGCAGGACTCAAGTTCTATTAAAGATGCATCCTTCCCTTCTTTGCAGGTGGTAAAGCGCCTCCCCAAAACCCGATCAGGGAAGATCATGAGAAGGCTACTGAGGAAAGTAGTCACTGAACAATCAAGCAACATGGGAGATGTCACCACACTTGATGATCCAAGTGTTGTCAAGGAGATAATGGATGCTTACCAGAAATACAAGGAGAAGAGTTCCTCATAACAGGCAACTCTGGAATTTCTCTCCTTTGGGAACGTGGAAGGTCTCAACTAGGCAAACAGCATAGTTCTCTCTTGGTGTTTTTTTTTTTTTAATTGTTTCCTTCTAGGGGAACAAGATTTTCCACTCCACAACATTTTTTGAGATGGCATGGGGCTAGGAGCAGTCTGCAGTTTTCCACTGTCAGTGAACTCCTTTTCCTTGTGCTCAGGGCTGTTGTAGAGCAGCTGTTGGTGGTTTCCATGAGCTATGCTGAAATTTAACATGAGCAGAAGCAAGATGCAGATGTTAATATTCCTCTTTTTAATGTTACTGTACAGGGAAATGTTTTTTTTACAGTATTTTTGCTGTTTTAAAAGAAGCCCTGGAAAACACCTCTTCAATTTTTTCTTCAACTTGGATATCTGAGTCCAAGCACCTGTATTTCACTGCAACTGTGGTGCGTTTTCAGCAGTTCTGGATATTTTAGTAGGTGTTTCATATGCATTACTAGGGACATGAGAAGGACATGGGTAGTCTGATAATTCTTCTTGACTTCACCCATTATTCTCTTATTTCCTTTGGCTTTCCTCATGTGGATTTGTTCCTACCACCATGTGTCCTGAGACTTCCCAGAGATAGTGAGCTTGTAACCCTTCATGTCTCACCTAGGTAACCCAGCACCAGCACTTACAGCTGCAAAAAAGAGCCACAAAACCCACAACTGGACATCCTGCATGTCCTCAGTGCATTGCTGCCAAGCTGATTTACCAAAGAATTAAGTGCCATGTGGGTATCCACAGACTGCACAGTCCACTAAAAAAAGTGCCTCTTAGATGTCTTGTGGAAAGTGACAGCAGCATTCAAGACTAGCAACCTCGGAATAGCAGGGAAGAACAGCCTTTGTCTTTCCTATGCTTTCAGAATTGCAATTAATGTAGTCAGTTTTTTATTTCTGGATTCATTTTATAATGACCACATTCCAGTTGAAGCACTCCTTATATTTGGGCTGTACAGAAGAATTTGTAGGGCTTCCTGAATTTAATTGGAGCAACACTGCTTTTTCCAGGGGGACTATGTACTGGAAAGACAATTTGTGCACCTAACTGGAGGAAGGAAAGGCAGGAGGGAAATGCGTACTTGATCTGTAGGATTGGGAGAGGCATGGGGAGTTTTCTGGCCAGCAAAGATTCTGGTACCACAATGGGAAGCAGGCTGCTTGAAGTATATATGTTCTCAAAAACAGGTGTATTATCTTAGATCCTGGAGTTCCTCTAAGGATACCAGCTAAATTTTCTTTTTAAAAAAGTTATTTCAAGTGTCTCTAGGGACTGAATAGTACAGTAAGGAATACCATGCTTTTTAAAATATCCCATCCTTCAAGCATTTTTATGTAAGATAAATAGACACCCTGTGAACTTTCTGGGAAGCTGAAGATCAGAAGATTTGAAGGTTTGATAGAGTTGACAGGGTATTAATATTTTAGGAGATAGACACTGCTTTATTGCCACTGTAATAGAAAACAACCCAACCTGCTTCTTTAAGTAGTTTTCAAGTGGGAAGCAAACAAGAATTAACATTTTTGACAGAAAAAGTACACTCACTTGTTTCAACAAGTCATCTCCATGCAGTCTGAAACAACAGTGTGGAGGAAGAAAAATTACATTTGAACAAGATTACACACTTTCCTTTTAATCAAGAAAGCATTTCTTATATTGTGGACATAGAATTTCCTTATCTTTTTGACCTGAAATTTCCCTGTGTGTTGTCCCAGTGGTCACAGACTCATGGTTTAATTCATCTGAACTGTCTCACAAACACTGTCTGTGTGAGGAGCAGTGTGTTTTGGTGCATCCCTGTGCTCAGGGAAAATGAGAGGTGAGTGTACTTCCTCACCTGCATCCCTGTTGTCTCAACTTGCACGGGCTTAGGGACCATGGTTGCCAGGGAGGTTCCAGGCTGACCAGGAAGCTGCAGGAGCTCAGGAGCTCAAAAAAATCACAGCTGGGCCAGCTGTGGTGCAGACAGAAAGTTGTGGATGCCATCCCTGAAAATGTTGAACGCCAGGTTGGATGGGGCTCTGAGCAACCTGGTCTAGTAGAAGGTGTCCCTGCCCATGGAATGGTAGTTTAACTAGATGATCCTTGAGGTCTTTCCTGTACAAATCTCATTTCCACAGCTGAGCTGTGGTGCTTGGGATGTCCATCTGCTCAGAGGCCCCCTTGGGGTATTCCAAGAGAGTACAGAGTGCTCCTATGCTGCCCACATGGTGTTCTGCAGTGGATGCAGCTTGTGCTGGGCAGCCTCAGTCTCTCAATAAAACTCAGTCTCCCAGCATTGGCTCTTGGAGCAGACAGCCTGTGCCCAGCCCATTCAATGGCACCCTGAGTCTGGTAAAAACAGAGCTAGGCAGGGCTTGGAAAGAGCGCTTCTAATGAAAAGAAGGATATTGTGCTTTATTGAGTAGGCTACACAGAGAAAGCTTTAAATTGAAATTGAAATGTTACATACTCCTTCCAGAATTTAAAGTTTCCGTCCAGAGAAGTCCCCATTTCTTCTTTCTACGCACTATCTCTGCTAACAGCTGCAGTTGCCTCTTCACTGCAAGCTTGAGTTGAGCTTTGCATTTTCATCAACAACAGCACTGGTGTGTGGTGACAGTGCTTTCTATTTAATATGCAGCAGGCTTGTGGCTCAGGGAGGGATTCAGCCCACAGAATTGGCACTGTTTTCCTCAGTGCCTGAAATGCCAGAAAGGAGGGAGTTTCTGAAGTACCCCAAGCCTGCAAGGCTCTTAACCTGATCTTCAGTGGTCAGATACCAGTGGGATTGTGGGACAAACTTGGGAGCAATTACTTCATTTAGAAAAGCAGAGCTGTTAAATACTTCTAAACCTTTGTGTGTTCATAAGTGATATATGGGTTGTTTGTCAGATTGCCTTTGTAGCTTCATTAAAAGAGATGCAAAGTCAATTTTACCTGTTGCCATTTATTGCAAAGGACCAGTATGCTTTTGTTTCCCCACTCAGTTTTGCTGGTAAGACCTGGTCATGGTGCTTTTCCCCCTAAGTGGAGACACAAACCATAATTTTTCCAATTCTATAAAGGGAAGGCTCCACCTGTCTAGAAGTATGCTTTGTACAGTCTAATGTTAAGCCTTTAATTGAATTTTGTTTACTTGTAATTATGCTTTAAACACATTTCTTGTCCTTGACCAAAACCAGTGTCTTCAGTGATCTCTGTAGTCATCTTTTCAGTAAAGGAAATAAGTGTGATGGGTTGGCTTTCCATTGTAGGTGTCGGACCTTCTATTCTCTCGAGGATCTGGGACTTTCTCAGTTTTCTGAACTTTCAAAGGAAGGGAAAGGAGTTAGAGATCAGGATGAATTGTGATCCAAAATGCTGTTTTGCTTTGTTCCTTTTCTCTAAATGAGTTAATGTGAGAAAACTGCCAGTGCAAAAAATGGAAAAGTTGAAGAACATTTGGATGTCAATAAGTTTCATGTGTCCTGAGATCCTGCTGCTTTGCACTTTTTCCTGTAAGATGTAATGATACGTTGACTGGCGCTGTGCCCGAGACAGAGACACAGCATTCTGTAATCCATGTGACAAAAGCCTTTATTTCCTTCTGACTTCACCTTAAATATCCTGTTTAATGTTCCCGGGTAAGCACCTGTGATTGGCTCCAAGTTCAGGCTGCTCATCTCTCTGACCAATAGCTCTCTGCAGCTTGGGCTGGAACTCACTGGATCACATCCTTGTCTGTCTCCAATTCTGTCCTATCTCTGTTCTCTGGGGGCCTGTCTGTTAAGCCAGGCCGCTTCTCTTATCAGTGGTCAGATTCACTGCCCAGTACAAGCCAGCTTGCACTGCGACAATTCCCCGTTTCTTTTTTATTAATTTGAAGAAAAATTTTAAAACACAAATGTGCAGCTTGTTCTCTGTAATCTTACTTGCAAGGGCCCCTTTTTGCGTGCAAGAGGACAATGACAGCATAAATTCAATTGGAATGGGATTTTTTACTTAGCTTAATAAATTTGGCTTTTTTGGATGGTGATGAGTTCCACATACCAGATGCTGCAGTGCTTATGTTCAGGAGCGGTCGGGTGAATTTAGCACCTTTTGATTTCACATATAACAATTTAACTGCTTAACACAGAAATATAACTTAACTCTTTAACTATAAACCTTTAAACTTCTTTTAACATTATAACTTAATATAACATTCAGTTTTAGAACTGTGCAAAATTCCAACATAACAAAACAATTTCTAAACAGAAGAATACTTTGTAAACAAACAACTCTGTTATTTCAATCTCTATAACTCTGTGAGGTAGGAACAATTTTTGTCATTTACTTTCTCAGCCAATGATACATGAGCTCTTAAGGATGAACTGGGATTTTCATCCAGGTACCTTGCCTGCTTAACAGGCTGGCTGGGTTTCAAACTGCATCTTTTAGAAAAGTTGCAGTATTTACTGACACAATTCCTTCAAATTCAAATTTTTGTTATTAAATTTTATAAGCTTAGTATTCCAAATTATTGATGTGCTTGATGTAAATAGGTCTGGCCGCCCCACCTAAAAAAAATCACAAAATCCTCTGCGGCCTGGGCAGAATATTAACTTTTTCATGGCCCAAAGTAAGACTTTACAAATAAATTGTTCTCTCTCATGAGTAAAACGAAACAAACAAAATTATTATACATAAAAAAAAGCATAAAACCACCAAATTGAAACAATGAGAAGAGTCAAGTCTCAGTTGAGGGAAGGAGGAAAGTCATACACTAAAATTTCTCTCTTTTTTATGCTATAGAAAAGCAACTCTTGTTTCCCTGTAACACATAAAAAATATGTGGGGAATTAAATATTGTAACTGTAGATATAAGCAGAAGCATTGGTGTTAAAATAAACAAATGGTAAAATTGCTATAATCCCCTACATTTAAATAGTGAAAAAACCTCTGCTGCTCCCCAGGGAAGAAAAAAAAACCCTCTATTTTCAAAAACTATTTAAGCTTTTGTTTAAACTATTATAATCCTTAAAGTGTGCCTCATAAGTGGATATGGTCCTTAATAATTGTTATGGAAAAATCTGTTAGTCGAGAAACAAATTTTTACGTAGTAATCAGATCTCCATTCTCTCAGACAGCTAATCACTATAACAGCAAGGCCACGAAAAAACTCTTTCTTATGAAAAAAATCTCCAAAGACTGAAAAGACTCACAAATAAATAAGTAAAAGACTGTTTTAGAAATGGTAAACTAACTGATTTGTTTTCTGTGCTTTGTCAATGTAAAAAACATGAAGTGTATGGAAAGAAGAAGAGTAGTCCAAAGTTTTATTCTAAGCTTTCTTCTTCTTTTTTTCCCTTATAGTTTCTAATAAAAAAGTTTCTCTTTGTACCATTTAAAGCTAAGCCAGTTTTACCTTCCTCCTAATCCTATCTCACAACAAAAAAATTTCAAATTACCAAACCAAAAGCACTAGACTAAATTAGTGTTTCCACCTAATTTCAAACTAAAACCAAAGCACCCCCTCACTGGAACAAGGACCAAAAATGCTGGAGGAAAATCCCCCCATGACGTGTTACAAGATGGCTCCGGGTTCTCTCTCAGGAAAATCAGGAGCTCTCAGGGAGCAGTTCTAGCAGCAGATGAAAGCTCGGTGGCTCATCCAGCATTGACTTTCTCCCAATGGCAGAGCTCCATGGAATGGTCACGGCAGGTGAAGCAGCTGGGCTGGAGCCCCTCGGTGTCTTTTCTCCCCAGCACGTCTCAGCTCACAGACTCTTGTGCTGGGAGCAGGACCGCTCTGCTTCTGCCAGCACCATGTCCCTGCTCTTGGACAAACAGTTTTCTGCCAGGAGAGCCCTGCATACTGTTCAACACATCTTTCATAAAGGCTATCAAACCAACTCCAAACACTGCCTACAGCAACTTTCCACACAGGGCTGCAGAAATCCAGGACAACTGCAAGTGAGTGTTGGAAGGGTTTTGTCCTTCTCCTGCCAGCAGAATTCTCCATGATCTGATGCAGTTTTGTTCAGATGTAACATGAAAGCTGAGATTTTTTTATTGAAGTGTTTGACGATGAGTAGCAAGCCTTGGGAGCATGAGGTACAGGGCTGACATGCAAAAGCATGATGATCCCCTCCAAAGTGACCAGTTTAATTGTCCATTTTATTACTTCTCTGTTTATTCCATACTAATAAGCAAACTCAAGCTTTTCTTGGAGGCAAAACAGGCATGGGATATACTACGGTGCCTCACAGGCTCAGCAGGGCTGGCACTGACAAAGCAGGCAATCTGCTTCATTGTGAGCCACTGCGGAGCTACATCCCAACGTGGGTTTAAGTAGCATGGTATTATTATCGTATGACTCCTTTCCTGCATGAGCTACAAAAAGTAGGTCCCAAATGATCTTCTTGCCAAGCATGCAGTAAAGAACTGATCCTGCTATCCTAATGAAGCTAATGCCTATAATGTGGAGCCTTCCAGAAGGCAGCTCTACAGAAGCCCTTATAGGCCAGTGTCCCTTCATGCCAACAGTAAAGCTATTCATTGGGTAAATCAAATGGGGCCTAAGCAAACTCCAAAAACCCCTTTGCCTCTGAATTGTAGAAAAGCTGTAGTCCAAGATCTCCTCTAGAGACAGGCAGCACAGAGCCAAGGGCTCCTGGGACTTTTGGGAAATGCTGATGCACATTCAAGCCTTTTAGGGGACTGGTGCATAAGGACTGCACCTCCACAGCTTCTGGTGGTTGTCAACTGGAGTGTTCCACAGGCACCAAGAGCTCTCGAGGCACTCAGTGTTCTCTTGTATCAGAGAGGCAGAGACACAGTTGAGGAGAGTCCAAGTCAGGGCTCAGCCTTACCTAAAGGAGCAATGGATGCTTCCAGCGCATTCACAGATGTGGCATGAACTCCGGGGTCCTTTGTGTTCAGGTTCTTTGTTATTCCTTCAACCAAAAGGACAATCACCTGGGTTTTACACAGGCCAGGGGTTTTACACACAGAAGCACAAATGGGACAGGAACTGCTCTGGAATGCATCTCGAGCTGCTTTATTATTATTTTTTTCTCCCAGGCATCAGTTTTATTACAAGGTTGAGACGGACAGCAGGAAGATGCCAGCAGCTCAGCCAGCAACATCCTCAGCAGCAGCCAGAGAACATGATGTTACAATGCACTTTAAAAGTTTTTTAACCAATCACAAAAGCAAAAACATATGGACAGTAATTCTATCCAACCACTATAAGTACACGTACCTTTGGTTGAAACAATGCTTGCTTATTTTGAATACAATACCTACTTGTAAGCCTTAAAATACAATGCACAGAGCTCCATTATTAAGCTTAGACCTTCCTAATATCTTGCTAGATATACTTTTCTGCAGCTTAGAGAGTTATGCTAGCCAAGTGTTAATACACAGACCATTGTTCTATTTGTCCTTGCTTTCTACATGTCATATAACTTTTATGCTGACATACCTTATGCTTTCCACTTAGCTTTAATTGCAGTTTGCTGTCTCTGAGGCCTGCTTTTTTGCAGCTTTTCCAAAACCCTCTGATTTTAAGGATTCCCACACCTTCAACCGAAAGGATAATCACCAGGTTCAAAGCATCTTTCAGGATGGCTATGATTTCTACCAGCACATTCAGCGCCTTCTGTTTCACTTTCTTGTGGTTGTCAATAATTCTCCAGACAATCATAAAGTTGATATGGACTCAGAGGAAGCTGTAGAGGCTGCCAGAGTTTGTTGCACTCCATGAACCCCTTGCCTTCTTACCCTGCAGTGTTTCAGACTCAGAAGAAGTGTAGAGGCTTACCAGGGCTTCTCACTGGTTTAAGCCATCTTTTAGGATGCCTATGATCTCAGCCAGCACGTCCAGCACCTTCTGCTTTATTTTTTTATGAGTACCACAAAATCTCGCGACAAAAATAATGTTGATATGGACTCAGAGGAAGGCGTAGAGGCTGCTCAGGGCTGGTTGCTTACTCTGAAGCTCATCTTTCTCTAGCTTGTTGATGCAGAGTCAGATGAAGCTGCAGAGTGTGTATATGAGATGCATGCTGCAGAGCATGTTATACTCAATGAAGTCCTTGCCTTCTTCTGAGTTGTTGAAAGGGAATCAAAAGTTATAGATCAGGTAAAAGGGACAAAGTGAGTGAGGAGAACCTTTTAAATCAACCCATCTAATGGGTGGCCGCTACACAGCGGCCCAGCTCCCACCTTACCTCTCTGTGAGGCTGAGCCATGGTGTGCCTTCACCTTGCCCTCCTGTGTTCGTTTGAAAGGAAAACCAGTGAGAGACTCCAAGTCAGTAATACAATTTAATAGGAAAAAAAGAGAAAAAATAAAATACATGTAATAATACAAAAGAAAAACCACCAACAGAGTCAGAATGCAACCTGACACCCTGTCAGTCAGGGTGTTGGTAGCAGTCTGATTAAATGGTGGCTGCAGTCCTCTTGGATGACAGATATGATTCAGTTGAAGCAGTGCTCCTGTAGAAGGGTGCAGTTTTCCTCCGAAGGTCCAGCGATGATGTGGAAAAGGTCCAACTTCCCTCTGGGATCCAGTGGAAAGGACTGCCTTCGTGTTCCAAACCCCAGATTTTTATCTAGGTAGGAAAGGCTTGGCTCCTGCCCCTGGCTGGGGCATCTCCCAATGGGATGATGTAATCTTATCAGTCATACAATAGGACTTAATGGCCCATTAACAGAATATATCTTCTGGAGGAAGGATGGGTTGTGAAAAAATAACGATGATCATCCCCCCTGATTTTATCAGATGGCACATCAGCAGAGGACATCTCCCACAGAGATAAGGATCACCACCCCTCCCACATTTCAACAGATGGTGATAGAATACACATTTTTGCATTTTACCCCAGGACACCTCCTCCCTGGCAGTGACCCTGGGGGCAGTGCTGCTCAGCTGCCTCTGCCAGGACTCCTGGTCCAAGGTCCCCTGAGCCAGCCAGGAGCCCAGACCTCCATTCCCAAGGCTGGAGTTTTGCATATCAGCTGTGCATCCAGGCAGGGGAGCTGAGCTGCCTGGATGGGGAGGCTGCTCAGGTCCCTCCCTGCACAAGCCCTCCTTGCACTTTTTGTCTGGGTTAGTGTTTTATGCTCAGAAGCTGTGGAGACTGTTCAGGGTTTGTTGCACTCCATGAACCCCTTGCACTCCTCATCTTGGTTGTGGATTTGGACTTTTAAGCTTATGGTGTGTTCAGGCACCTCAAAGTATGGTGTATGGTTGAGCTGTCTCTCAGAGATATAATTTAAGTTGCTTTTAACATTTAATATTTTCTTTGAGCTCCTTGCCTCACACAGTAATATTTGAGGAAGCAAGTTTGGTGCTTCAGAAATTCCTTAATTCAGTCAGTTTGACAATAGGGGAACAAAGATTTAGGATATGTCATCTCACTTTTATTCATTATGCAGAAAAATAGAGGAGCACTGCTTGTGAGCTGTGTGTCTAACCTAAATGAACTTGCCACCAAGACCTTAGAAAAAGTGGGGAGAGATGGAATCAGTAGCACAAGGTTCTGCATTGTGATTCACCCACAGGCCTGAGGTCTCTGTTTTGATTTATTGAGTTCTTCTAGGAAGCTGGGAATTTCAGAGGATTCATTTCAGTTTGATGAAACCAGTAGAAGAGTGACAAGTTCAGTTCCTGTCTACTGAAACATCACCAGGGCCTGGAGCTGTTCAACTGCAGCTGTGCTTGATTTTCTTTCTTCAGAAAGTCATTTTGTAAGACCTTTTTGCACTCAGTGAATGACTGCTACTGGCCTCCTCTGTGCCAAGATTGGCCCCAGCTTGTTTTCCATGCTCCAACCAGCACTCCAAGGCAGAAGGTGAATCTTGCACATTCAGGGCTCCCCCAGGCTGCAGGCATATTGCTTTGTCACGGTCATTCCAGCTGCAGTGGTTTTGCTGCAAGTGAGAAAGGGGTGGTTCTACATAGCTGTCACGGTTTTGATTTGTCAATTTAAATATACTTATTTTTTGTTGTGAGACAGAACTAGGAGCAGAAACAAGGCAGGCTTAAAACTTAAGAGTGTATAAAAAGAAATTTATTATCTAAACAATCAAAGGAAAAAAATAAATTCAGAATAAGATTTTCAGACCACTTTTTCCTTCCTTTTTTTAACTTTTATAACAACAAAACAAACTTACAACAACTACTTTGGTCAGTTTGCAGCTCAAACAGTTTTGTTTAGTTTACTTTTGGAGAGAGACGTTTTCTTTTGTTAGGTTATAGGGATTTTTTTACAAGAAGGAAGAAAACAGTCTTCTCGTGGTTTTATTTTCACGATTTGTATCTTCCCAGAACTTGTAATCATGGCACTCATCCCAACTCCGCAGCCTTCCCAAAGCTGCGCATATGGGACCATGTCTGATTCTTGGGGTATTACTTTTAAGAATGAAATGTTTTAAAGCAAAGATTAATTTTATTTTTTTTCTCTCTGTTTATGCTTTATTCTCAGAAAACCGAGATCTCTTTGGTTTTTTTAGGGCAAAGATTTTCAACACAGGTGCTTTTTAGTTAAATGACTTATCAAATGGAACATCTCCAACCCCCCATGTCTTTCTCCATGGTTTATAGAATATTGAGTATGTGATAAATGTGATTCATGCTAATTAAGTTGTAACTATATTA